TATATATATATATATATATATATATATATATATATATATATATAATGTATATAATGTATAATGTTATATAATTATTATATGTTAATAAAAGATATATTATATATATATATATATATTATATCCATGCATTATATATACATATAAAAAGTGAAAGCTCTTAAACATTGGTCCCTTTGGGAACTGTTTAAAAGAGTTTTCACTGCACATAAATGAAATATTGTTAGCTTATATTTTTTATACCCGAAAATCAATTTCAAGAGATTGTTTATGAGGTTAGTGTTTCCTATTAACTTTTTTAATAAAAATTTGTTGTATTTGTTGTATCAAATATATTCATAATAAAGACCGAAATTTCGGCATTAATGTTTTTTAAAAAACTGAAAAAATTGTCGTTAAAAAAAATATTCAATTGAAGATGTATTAGAAAAGGTTTTATAATGACAAATATAATAGAAAATAATATATAAAACAATTTAATAAAAATTTAGAGAATTTGAGAGAATAGCGGGGTTCTCCATAAATAGAATATATATGACACCAGAACAATAAGATGTGCGTGTTAAGACGCCATGTTCTAGTAGTAAATACTATTAAATACACTAAACTGGAACTTAAGCATTTTAAAATATTTTTTTAATTGAATTTATTTGTCTATTAAGTTCTTTAATAAACATGACAAAATATTTATCACTTGTATATGAAATTGAAAAGAAGAAACTAATCAACTCACCCACTTATGCAAAATAATGTTGCAATTACGTGTGTAATCATGTTGGATTTATGTTTAATATAGGTTAAACCAACTTGAGAACAACCTGGGCATCGAGCGATGGTTTGCTCAGGGCCAAATGGTAATACATTTTGATCTGAAAGTAAAGATTAATCATTTTTGTTAAGAAATTTATAAAATATCTGCGTGTATTCTACAAATGTTCATACTAAGCAACGTAAAGGAGTACTGAATTTAATTAATGTTTCAATTAGTAGCTGTTAATGTCACAAATAATTCGAATTGTATTAAATGTAATATAAAAAAAATATTAATAATAATTGCTTATTATTAAATAATAAATGTTTATATATAATTATTAGGTATACAGACTTGACAGAAATTCTGGTTTTACGATTTCTGAATTTTTGTTAAATAAAACTTGAGAACTGAGTTGATTTTCGCCCATATTTATATTTTATGTGTAATTAAAAAATTATATTTAGTTTTATTTTAAGCACTTCTTTTTTTTTAAACTTTATATGAACCGAAAATTTTTTGCATTGAAGTTTGTAATTTTACTTTTAAAGTTGCGAAGTCTTCTACACTTCTACACTTCTAACGCGGTTTTACAACTGAAGATACAATTATTGTGACGTTAACATATAAAGCAAAATTGAGAGTTCACCCTAAATGTTTTTTGCTTCACAAGGAAAGATAATTATCAAAGATAGATTGTAGATATTATGTAGGTGAAGAAAAATTATAATGCAGCTAAAAAATATGCAATAGTTCTATAAATATCCTGCATTGCAAGAATACGAATAATAATTTATAAGTTCTTTTTAATTTTATTTCTTATTCTTGAAATGTTATTAAATATGTAAAATAAATAAAAAATAATATAATAAATAAATTTTATTATTGAATACTTTATTATATATATAAATATTCTAATGTGACGGGTATAATTAAATAAGAATTGCCATAGAAAAAGTAATTGCAGGTGTCGAAAAATTTTATTGATAGATAAATGGAAGCAGTAGTCTTAATATGTTTTCATCAATGCCTAGGTTTGAACAGATTGGAAATTCATGGATGTAACATAATATTAATATAAGCAAAACCATTATTTTAAACGATTTTCTATGGTATTGCGAACTAAGCTTATTTACAAACATGGACTTAACGTTGAGAGAAGGAAGTTGTCAGTTTTTTTTAACAAACTCACAAGTAAACACGTCCATAAATATGTCCTTATCACTGATCTATCACATTTAATCGGCGATATATAAAGGCCTTCTTATTAAGAATTTATTTGGGTACACTTTAAGGGTGGTATAGCCGGATGAAATTTTCCATCTTAAGTAATGGAATGGGCAGCTATGAATGCTGATGGACGATCTCCAAACATTTTCATCGAACCTGATGTCACAGTCAATGCGATTTATTGTTGGGAAATTATTTTGGAAGTTGGTTTAGAGCAGTTGGCACGCTTATATTTCAGTCGTAGACCATGGACGTTCTAAAAAATCTCGGCACCGTCTGATATAGCTCGTGTGAACCAAGAATGATTAAAAATGAAGGTGGCTGCATCGAGCTACAGTGAATGGATTCTGAAATTTTGATTATTTTCACAAATTTTTGTAATATGAAGTAATAAAAAATAATTTCACACAAAAAAGATATGGTCTCTTAAATAGGTAACACTTCAATCGCCTGTACTTCCTGTACTTATTACACAGATTTCGCTCCAAGAATTGTTACTGCTTGTGGATCTTAAATAGTAATATCAGGAAAAATATTTTACTTTAATAAAGAAGTTATTTTCAAAATATTTTATAAAAAATGTTTTTCGAATATGTAAAGAAATTTCAGGAATGATTATATAGCTATGGAGAAAGCCTCTACTGATAAATAAAGCTGTTCATTGCAAAAAAAAAATTTTGTGTTTTAGGTGTTAGTCTTATTACTTACCGAGAAATTTATAAATATAAATTAAAAATAATTTGTGAATTTATTTTATCGTTTAATAAATAATGAATAAAAAATATGTAACAAATAGATTTATTAAATAGATATATAATTTAATTCGTTTTTTATTTAATATTTTAATAGTATTACTATTTTATTGTATAGAAAAATAAATTGTTTTCAAATTTAACAACTGTATATTATTTAAAAAGACTTATATCCATAGGTCTCTTAAATGTAAAATTCCATTTATCAAAGAACTTTAAAGCTGTATAATGAAAAACATGCTTTACTTAGCTATACTCGTATATAGTCATTTTTAAAACATTCTTATATTGAAATTAAACAACATAAATATTTGCATCTTATCTTAAAAATATTGTTAATATGTTTTAAAGGTTTATATATACAGTATAATTCGCTTAGCTGCCTCGATGCTTAGCTACATCGATTATATTTTTTTCTGCATTTATGGCTTCATTTGTATGAAAATAATTATGTTTGCTGCATCCAAGTTAGCTGCCTGTTGCACTTAAGCATCTCGTATCGGCAGAATATAATTGCCATTTTCTATGAATATCGTTTAACTCAGTTGCGCCACCTAGGTAATGAAATTGCAAACAAAAAAAGTAAGGTTTGTTCGCCATTAAGGTACTGAAGCGTCTTTGCATTCAAAATAATTGCGAAGAATTTTGGCCAAACCTTACATCTTTGGAGAATAGATTTTTAAATTTATCTATAAAAGCGGTTGCAGTTTAAACAAAAATAACAACTTCCTTTAAAAAAGAAAGATAGCTGCCTCTAATATCTTTGCAAACGATTCGAGGCGAATTATATGCGAATTATACTGTATATATAATATTTGATTTAAATTTTTAAAATATAAATATAAATTTTTTTTAGGTAGATGACATTAGTTATTATAATTTGCTATATATATTTATATAAATAATAAGCATAAATAGTTTATACTATATTTCGAATAATAATATATTTTGGTGTCTTGAACAATAAATGGAAAAACTAATTAGTTCTCATATATGAAATATTATAGTTATTTTAATCAAGTTTAGTTGGAATATGAGCCCAGGTACGCATTGCATTGAGTGCAGTAATGTAGAGAACTTTTGCAACTGTCCATGCAGTAAGGGATGCAGCAGCAGCAGCAACTGAATTAGAAAAGATAATATAATTAATAAATATGTTTGTGTTTCTATTTTTCTAGAAGTGTATATACTTATACTTACGTCAGTAGACACAATATTCCAGCAATTAAGTGAGTTCTAGAATTGCTTTCATGTACAATTCTGGTCATATTTCTACTTTGACATGATGGGCAAAAAGTTATCATCTCTTTTGGACCAAGTTGTAATATAGTTGGTGCAGCTAATTAAAAAAACCAATAAAAGTAATATAATAATTAATTCTTTAATGCAAATAAAGAGTAAATGCAGTAATTTCAGAACATTTTTTAAGAAATGATGAATGGAATATAGATCTGGTACACATATAACATAATATAATTATAAAAGTACTTATTTCATTTAGGATTGGCAAATCTAGCGTAACTTCTTTACCCTAGTTTTTTACTTTTAATACCATTTTTATTTTCGATTGTTTAATATTTCGTAAATTATATATCACTCGAGACTAATTTGTACCACTCTAGATTTTTTTATAACACCCAAGATTAATTTAAAACACTACATTTTTTGCCAGATTAGTAAGATTATACTGAAATTAACAACTGCTTTATGATCTTGACAACAATATGTAGAGATTACCATAAACATGTTCGATTGGGGCACATTATTCGGACAAAAAACTACAGATCGAGAGCAAATTCAGATTTGCCACTTAGAAATGACACTAGTAATACAGTATGCTATATTATAATAATATACCATATATACGCATGATTGTCTTCAAAATTTTTGGGAGCAAGATATGAATTATATTACGATTTCTAATATATGTAGGATAAATATAAAATTATATTATATGAAGCACTATTATTTATTTCCTGTTTAAATAATAATAATAATTATTTATTCTAAAAAAATGCTTCAAATTAAATTCAGTAACAATATTATCTGAATAAAAAATGTAAATTCATGTAAATTGTTTTCTATAAATTATTTTTTACTTAATTAGTTTAATTAAATACCTCACAAAATAATGCATACAACTATTTTATTATATGATTATATATATTTATACTTTATATTATATCATCAAAGAGGTACTTCAGTCGCAGTGCTATGCTCCTCTGAGAGCCATATTTCCATTTCAATGTTCTATTTTAACATAAACACACATATATGTATATTACCCAGTAGAAAAAGTGGTCTTCGAAGACATTGTCTTCAAGACGGTCTTTGATACCGCGTCCGCATTTTCAAGCAAATTTGCAAAACAATTGCTCAAAACATGAATGTAAATACTCTTTCTTTGCTTTCTCTCTCATTTTTAGTGTTCATAGCAACGTATTTGAATTTTGCCTCAGATGACGCTATGTTTTATAAATGAATTGACGCAATAATTTTGAAGTGTAGTGAAATAAATATTAAAAAAATCAAAATGAATAAAGAAACAATATCATTAAACTATGAAATATTAAAAAAAAAGAAATTAAATCAATACAAATTAAATAGTGACTTAGTTCCTGGAAAATATATTGATATTAATATTGAAGACAATAATTCCAGTGAAAGTTGTTTTAGAAACGAAACAAAGGATGTTGAAAATAAAAAAACTGAAAACACTTGTGAAAAATTAGCTGTTATATTTAAAAAACACAGGATTAACAGGCGTTGTGGTAATGATATTTTAGAACTCTTAAGATCAGAAGGTTTAATTGTACCAAAATCCTTTTCAACGCTTTTGAAAACATATAAAACTTCAACAATTGATGATAGCGAAATGCTATAAATTATTTTATATTAGTTTTAGTTAATTTTAGATATGTTAAGTTATATTAAGTTAATTATTTAAATTAATTTTCATTATGTTTACTAGTTTTTACTAGTTTATTTTTAATATCTTAATAAAATTTATAATAATTTATAATAAAATTTATAATTTATTTTTAAAACTTTTAATTTTGAATGTAATTTAAGAAATTATTATATAAAATAAATAAAAGTACAAAATACAACAATTTCTTTCTACTTATTTAAAGAGAAAATTGAAATTCGTTTAAAATTTAAAGAGCGCAATAAAAGAGTAGAAATAAAAAAAGGGTGAAAAAATTATATGAGCACTGCACTAAGAGCGCACAACTTTCTGTCGAATGCGTCCGTTATGCAAGACATGGTCTTCGAGACGGTCTTCGAGACATGTACGCAAAAATTCATTGAAGACATTTGGCTAATTTGTATGAAAGTGTCTTCGAAGACCGTCATACATTTGGATCGATCGGTCTTCATGTATGTATCCATGTCTTGAAGACGTCTTCGATGACGGATCGATCCGTTTTCTACTGGGTATATATAGAAATATTTAATATTTTAAACTGTTCTAATTTTTATTTATTTTTTTAAAATATTTTTTTATTTGAAAAAAAAAATGATAACAATGAAATCATTGGCTTAGACGCCAATGGATAAAAATACAAAAAAAGAAAACAAAAAAAAAACACGTGCAAAAGTGCCGAAAAACAAAAAGAAAATAAATTATTTAATTTAAACTTTGTCTTTTCAACTGTTTTTTGTTTAGAGGAGGGCAACTGCTCTCCTCTAATTTGTGCTCTTCTTACTTGTTGGGTGTTTTACTCTATTCTAAACTTTAATTTATTTTGCCCTGATCAGCTGTGTTCAAACATTTTTTTATGTATTCAAAAACTGATGTCAATATGTGCGTGTCGGAATGGGGAATGTGTCTATTTTGGTCAAAATAATCTAGTCAAAATAATCTAAATAGAAAATAAATCACTTCAATATATTTATAATATTTATAATATTTATATTATTTATATTATTATTAATTGAACTATTATATTTTTTTTGTAAAATATAATATCGAAATAAATATTTATGTATTATATTATATATTATATTTATATAGTGTATATAATTATAAGTGACTTTAATTATTATTATATTATTTAGTTTATTATCTATTTGTTTATATTATTATTAGTTTAACTATTATATTTTTTTTTTTATGAAATATAATATCGAAATAAGTATTTTGTATATTAAAATAAATATTTGAATAAATTTTAACATTTATTTTATTATCGATTGTTAATATTTATGTATCTAAATGATAAAAA